ATCAATCAATCAATCAATCAATCAATCAATCAATCAATCAATCAATCAATCAATCAGTCTGTCTGTCTGTCAGTCAGTCAGTCAGTCAGTCAATCACAGTCACTGTCTGTTATCAAAATATTGGATTTACTCACGCTGTGCATCATCAGATAACTGTTTGCTACCTATAAACTGCGAAATGTGAGAAAACTTTCATGATTTATTTTCTCACCTGATGGGCAGGATCTGATGTTGGCCCAAGGTGAAGTTTCCTCTCAGCATATCCCTGAAGAACAGCTACACCTGCATTCAGAAAGAAGGCAAAAAGTGAACCAGAACTCCTACATTGAATATCTGACTCCATACTGTGTTACCATAATGGACATATGCATTTAAAAGTTTTACTTACCACCTTGGCTTTCGTTTGTTTGTTTTGGTTTTTGCCTCTTAAATTCTGGTTTAACCTAGGCCTGGCAAAGGGTGTTCTATCCTCTGTCCCTGAGACTAACTAACTGTGCATAGCAAGATTTTGCTGTTGCTTAGAGCAGTTTCCAATCGAGTGTTGAAAGTAATCAGGCAATTACTTGGTTTTGGTTTAGGTTTTTCTATGGTTTGAAATTGGCTGAGCAGTCTAATTGGTAAGTAATTGGTTTAGTTTTGGTTTTATGACACTCAGTTGAAAACAGCACTATTTGTACCTGCACTAGATGGTTGTAAATTACCTAATGCTGTACTACGTCCCTCTCTCATGTATTTTCTCGTCCATTCATCCAGCAAGATATTGTAGTATCTCTGGAACAAAACATCAAGTAGAAAATGAGTAAAAAACAACCTAACAGGAATGAAATTATTGCCAGTAAACTACGTAGTCATAAGTATAAAAAAATTAATGAAATTAAATCCAAAGCTAAGGTACATTCTGTTCTGTTTAACTGGTCCTCATTTCGGAAATTACAAGTTCCTTTTCAATTACTTTGCACATATAAAAGACCCTTTCAACTGGTAAATTCAAGAGCTTCTCAGTAGATTAGTGACAACACTTACCTGCGACTCAAAAAATCTTAAATACTTGTTAGATGAGAGTGATGGAAAAACTCTTTGGAAACATCCTCTTCTACTGTTCTGTTGAAGAAAATTAGAAACGTATTTAAGAATCAAGCTGCAATAATTATTATATATTAACTTTTTCCCTATTAGTACATCATTAATTCATTTTCGTTCTCTGTCTTAACTTCTCATCATTGGTCCAAATAGTGTACTGATGGACACCATCATCATTCATTGTCGTCATCATTATCATTATCATTCACCATTAAAATACAATGAGTGTTAATGAGCCGTATTGTATGGCTTGTGTTTAATTTGGAGTCAATATAATATACGCTCTGACTAGCTAATTCTAGGGCATTATTCTACCCTAAAGTACACTGGCCGATAACGGGCCTGCGATAGCAAAGCAAAAAGCCACATAATAAACAATTTATTACCCTCGGATATTCAGTCTGTACAGAAACATCTCAAACCTGGTCAGTATGTACAGTAAGGTCTTGGTTTGATATTTTCCTATGAAGTCCTTACCTCATCTTCTGTCTCCATCAACATCCTTATGTCATCTGGGGTCAAGATGTCCAGAATTGACTGCTTGGTGCGCTGAAATATTGAATAAAAGTGAGAATACTGACACAAAAATGGCTCTGACTAGCATCTTGTTAGGTATAGCCCGGCATTTCAAAGCATTGGAGGCAACTCACAGAAAAGCATAATAACAAAATTTACTTTACATGTAAATCTAAAGCTTCGGTTTTATGCACGTTTCACCCCTGGTGAGCTCAAACATGAGGATCCAGACCACAGATGCTTAAAAAAGGTCATACATGTAGACTAGCCAATGTGGAAGTCACACAGCTAAACTCCTCTAAACAAGAAGACAAAACAGGCATTGCCTAACACTGGTGCAGAGCACAGCATTATGTAATAAATTCAATAACTGTACCTCATCCAAATGACGCTGAACGTAAAATGCATGCTGCAAAAAAAGAAAAAAGAAAAGAAAAGAAAAAAAGAAAGAAAAATAATTGATGAGTGATATTAATATTTATTACCATAACACATCACAGTCATGACAGAAGTTGGGATTACAATCTTTTGTGACGCTGCGAATTTTGTTCTGTTTGCCAAGAACAGGTAGTTTTCAATTAATAGGTCTCTTCATAGTTTTCCATGTATTTGTAAATAATTAATTTGTTATGTATTTTAAAAAACTGTACAGTAACACCGTAGGTAAATTGCACCATTACATTCATTGATTTAAAACAGCTATAGCATAAATTTCAAACCTTAGCTCTTTCGTCTGCAGAGAGACCTGGCACTCCCTTGTCCTGGACAAACTGGTTCATGTTGCTTGTGCTGTGATGAAATTAAATGACTTCATTGTTACCGAGTAGTCCAGAACAAGTTGGAAGTTTACAAAGGGTTAAAGTGACAAACTAGTTAAGAGCTAAAGATACACTATGTTAGAGTTAATGATATTATTTTGAGATTTCTTCATCATGTGGAGTCACTGACCTTGAAGTTGAAGTTGTGACCAAATTTTCTGGAATGCAAAACCCAGCAAGGTTTAACAAGTCCTTGATCATCTGACCCTTGATGTTACGATCCAGTTGAGATGTGGAATGAAGACTGTGGTGCAAATAAACAGAACTTAATCAATCAACTCAAGTGACAGTTATTCTAGATGACACTTTACCATCACCAGAAATAAAACTTATTTCCCCCTTGCACAAGACTTAGTAGTTTTCATTAGTTTCAGTTTTCAGATTCCCCTAAACAGTGTTTCCTATGTTGTGGAAAACTTGTCTCAAAAACTATCTGAAATCTTATACATTGCTGGACACAAGAATTGCATCTTTATACAAGGAACAAACCTGGACAACTATTAATTTTTGCTTGCTCCTTGGCTTTCTCATTGTTCCAAAAATGTAAATACACATGCTAGCTCCTAAAGTCTTAACTTAGATTTATACACTTTAGTAAGATAACTATAGATCCAAATATTGATTTGCTAACTGAACTATTATTATTTACTATTTACCTTGGTGATATATTCACTTCCAAGAGCCAGGGTTTAAGATTTTCATCCAACATGACATCAAACCCAAATAGCTCATGACAGCAGGATCTATAAAAGAAAACAACCGCACATTATCTGATGAACAAAGTAACAGGGCAGATATAAAATAGCTGAGGGAACATGTAATAACAGCATTATGACCACATATATGCAAGTCTCAAATACATTGTAGCTAGCTTAATACTTGGCAACCAATGTCGTAGTTCTGTTTAACAGTTTGTTCTATGCACACAAACACTACATAATTATACAGTCACATGATTTTCTTGTCAGTTTACTTCTCCACTACAATGACACCTGTCGCATCTAGCTTCTAAAAGATTAAAACACCAACACTGGAGGTAATTATCGACATAACATACCATTTTACATGTCACATTATTTTTGATGTGGTGCACAGTCTTACCTTTTTCTCACATTTTGTTTCACCATAGTGTTAACTGAAGAATCAGACCTGAAGTTATCACAAAAAAAAAAATCTTAATTGCTGATAAATAATTATTATGGAGTTGATTACATGTACTTTAATTTCAAGAAAATCTAAACTTAAAAGTGTTACGCATCGCATCAATTATAAATTCATGTGCCTGTCCACTTATTGACAATGAAAATTAGCCAATGAGCATGCAAGAATTTCTGCAGTTATCGTAAAAAAAGGACTGTGCACTTACGCTATGATGGCTTTGACAACCAGGTCCTTGATTGTCTCCCAAACATGAGCATGGTTGATGTTAATGCGCTTCATATAACCCCAAAGAGCTTTCAAACTCCTGCATGTATAGGACAAAAAATACAGTTACAACAATAAGAAATATTGACATGAATTATTACATCACATACAAATGTTGCACAAATTGTACAAAAGGTTGCACAAATCATAGCTCAGAGTGAGTACAAGTCAGATTTACGTGACGAAAATAATTTGCCACCCACCATTTGTGACCCTGACAAACAGTTTCATCTGAGTTCGCTTGGTATGCTCCTTCATTCTTCTTGTTGATGCTGTAATTTGTCAGATGCATAAACTTGTTGCTTAAACTCTTCATAGAAGATGAATACCTTGGAAAAAAAGGAAAAGAGTTACAGAGCAATCACTGCGACACTGATTTTAATTTAATAACTTACTATCATGTAAGAAAATATGTCTTGAGTGTAAATTACAATCTAGATGTACATTAAAAAAGGTAAGGTCTGCATTTGAACCAAGTGGTCCATCAGGACGGAGCTAAATGTTCCGGTTTCTGTAGCATGAGGGAACTCTAGAGGAGTATATCTACTCCCCTACTGGATGGGATGCTAGTTCATTGCAGGGTTAACCACAGCATTAAGTTTGCCGTTTATACCCATTTATCCACCTGCATGGATACTGAGTGAGGCACTGTGAGAGTAAAGTGTCTTGCCCAAGAACACAACACAAAGTCCCCGGCCAGGGCTCAAACCTGGACCGCTTGATCTGGAGACGAGTGCACCAACAACGAGGCCACCGCACTTCCCTAGGATCTACATGTAAGTTCAAAGTCAAAGTGAGAATTTCCTTGTTTTTTGTAATGTTCAACTTCCTTCATGTGTAAGGTACCATACCATTTCCAAGTGTGGAGTTCTAGGAAATACCTAGTAAGTCCAACTCCCAAGGAAGGTCTTCAGAAATTCCAGGGGGAAGAGCAGAGCATTCCAAAGGGGTATCAAGGGGGAAGTTCATACTGAAGAAAAATGTCTGTTGGAGGGTACCTTAACTTGTGTACATGATCATGACATTACACAGCCATTGGCATGCCTGAAGAATCCCAGCATCTCAAAATGAACTTTGGTTGCAAACATACAACACTGTAAACATGTATCTCAGACATCCTGTCGACTGAACATGAAACCAGCCTACATGTGACTGTGGTTAAAAATAAGTTACTCCTTCCTCCAGTTTTCTAAAACACATTTTGAGTGTTAGAGATGATGGAATTCCCCTGTATAATTTACAATTTCAAATTCTTACTGGTGTAATCAGGCATATCATCATATGGCAGGGAAACAAGAGAATTGAAATTTCCGGCTGTCGCTTGTCTCCGCCGAAAATAACGTCCGCGAACCCGAGCCAGGAAACGATTTCTGTGATGTAATGACCTTTGTTTCTACTTGGCCAATCAGATTCCATGATAGAATGAAACTCGAGTGTTCCTCGCGGCGAATACCTCGCGCAGTAGTTCTGGGGCTACTTGAGCTAAACTGTGATTGGCTTAAAATTCCCACGTCACAGAAATCGTTTCCTGGCTCGGGTTCGCAGACGTTGTTTTCGCCGGAGACAAGCGACAGCCGGAAATACGTCTGCGTTCGCAGGCTATTGGTTTAACGGCTTCTGATTGGTTGAGAAGTGCTGCGAGTTTTCTCAACAAAGGAAACAGGAATTTCTATAGACACTCAAGTGAAAGCCACTCTTTCTCTGCGAAGTTGTGAAGTTGCCGCAGCAGTTGAACGGTACCAATTTGGATGGCCTAAGAATACAACTCGATGATTCCGGCCTGGCCTGAGTTCTTTAGTTCAGGATCTCAAGTTTGAAATTCAATGGAGGATTATGAAAGAAAGCTGTTGCGCAACATGAATGGGCAGTGAAAGAAACGAGGTGTGACCATTATTCTATGTATAGCGCCACAGAAGCCGTGAAACTCAAAATGCATGTGTACCTCTTGCACTTTGGTTTAGAAAAAGCGGATTTGCTTCTTGGCGAAGTTTTCAAGGCAGTAGTTCTAGCTGAAGTGTCCCTGGAAAGCAGATAGAGAAGAAAGAACAGATAGGAACAATAAATATTGCAAAAGAGAGTAGAAACGGACTGACTGACATCGCTTTTGGAGAATCCAATGAAGAAATTATGACAGGGAAAATACTCGCGTGAATTGAACAAACAAGCGCATCTACTGAGACGAAAGCCATTTCCTGACGTTCTCTCACGTTTGATCTCAAAACTTGAAATACGCGAACAAGTCTGACTGTCTTGTGGTTTTGTCTGACTGAAACTAGAAGCCACTTCAACAGGGAACTGCAGAACATCATGACGGAGAGTGTACCACAGGAAAAAGATCACAAACAAGTGGTGACAAGATAAAATACCTCTTTAAAGTATTACAAGGAGAATTAAGGCTCAGCTGAGAAAGAGGAGCAGAAGATACTCTCCAAGATAAAAGAACAGAGTGAAGAATAAAATAAAGTGACATGACTGGTGTGAAAAAGCGAAGTTGACACAATTAATTGTTTCGCTTTTTCGCATTGGCGGTCTAGTTGTTAGGACAGATGTGTAACATTGATACATTGCATCACAAGATGAAAAGAATCTGTGAAAAATAAATTTATCAAGAAGTGAAGTTTAACGGGGCTCAAAATGAACTGTATACATGTTAACATTTAAATCACGAGCCAACATCAGAAGAAATAAAAAGTTATTTGCTTCAGGAAAAAGAACCAGCTAGATGTAATGAGAGAATCTCATACTGACAAAAGAAACTCAAAGAAAAAGAGGGCCAAGTACAACTGTATTGCAGCAATGAGAAGGAACAATCATGTATAAAGAAGGTATTAGTTACTGTCACCACGGCAAGTGGCAAAGTGCAGACAAGAACTTGATTACTAGAAAGATATGATACTATAGAAGATTCTGGACAACTTCGACGCTGTAAGTGATCATGAAAGAGAATGCAGTTAGTGCGAAGAGGTACCTAAAGGAAGCTGAGGAACAGCTAGAGTTGTTGCCTTGATTTGACCTCGTGACTGGTGCTGAGAGCAGCCTGAGAGAAAAAAGAAAAACTCAAGAAAGATCAGAACATGACATGAAGAAACAATAGTGTGTCAAAATGGATCCTGAATCTGAATTTAAATCAGTTGGTCAACACTACAAAAAAATAGACACTAAAATGGGTCAGTTCGCTGTATTTGCAGCCAGTTCTGTAGTTAGGTATTTTCTTTTTAAGAGGCACGGTTACAGGTTATTTATTTTCATCGGTTTGATTCTTGTGATACTAACCTTGATTTGACAAGTCCATGGCCCAAACCCAGAACTGGAGCTGATGAGGATCTGTATGTCATACCCTGAGGACATGTCCACTACGAAAAAAAACCCAGTGTAAATTGATGTCAAGCAGTCAATGAAACCATCAATCAATCAATCAATCAATCAATCAATCAATCAATCAATCAATCAATCAATCAATCAATCAATCAATCAGTCTGTCTGTCTGTCAGTCAGTCAGTCAGTCAGTCAATCACAGTCACTGTCTGTTATCAAAATATTGGATTTACTCACGCTGTGCATCATCAGATAACTGTTTGCTACCTATAAACTGCGAAATGTGAGAAAACTTTCATGATTTATTTTCTCACCTGATGGGCAGGATCTGATGTTGGCCCAAGGTGAAGTTTCCTCTCAGCATATCCCTGAAGAACAGCTACACCTGCATTCAGAAAGAAGGCAAAAAGTGAACCAGAACTCCTACATTGAATATCTGACTCCATACTGTGTTACCATAATGGACATATGCATTTAAAAGTTTTACTTACCACCTTGGCTTTCGTTTGTTTGTTTTGGTTTTTGCCTCTTAAATTCTGGTTTAACCTAGGCCTGGCAAAGGGTGTTCTATCCTCTGTCCCTGAGACTAACTAACTGTGCATAGCAAGATTTTGCTGTTGCTTAGAGCAGTTTCCAATCGAGTGTTGAAAGTAATCAGGCAATTACTTGGTTTTGGTTTAGGTTTTTCTATGGTTTGAAATTGGCTGAGCAGTCTAATTGGTAAGTAATTGGTTTAGTTTTGGTTTTATGACACTCAGTTGAAAACAGCACTATTTGTACCTGCACTAGATGGTTGTAAATTACCTAATGCTGTACTACGTCCCTCTCTCATGTATTTTCTCGTCCATTCATCCAGCAAGATATTGTAGTATCTCTGGAACAAAACATCAAGTAGAAAATGAGTAAAAAACAACCTAACAGGAATGAAATTATTGCCAGTAAACTACGTAGTCATAAGTATAAAAAAATTAATGAAATTAAATCCAAAGCTAAGGTACATTCTGTTCTGTTTAACTGGTCCTCATTTCGGAAATTACAAGTTCCTTTTCAATTACTTTGCACATATAAAAGACCCTTTCAACTGGTAAATTCAAGAGCTTCTCAGTAGATTAGTGACAACACTTACCTGCGACTCAAAAAATCTTAAATACTTGTTAGATGAGAGTGATGGAAAAACTCTTTGGAAACATCCTCTTCTACTGTTCTGTTGAAGAAAATTAGAAACGTATTTAAGAATCAAGCTGCAATAATTATTATATATTAACTTTTTCCCTATTAGTACATCATTAATTCATTTTCGTTCTCTGTCTTAACTTCTCATCATTGGTCCAAATAGTGTACTGATGGACACCATCATCATTCATTGTCGTCATCATTATCATTATCATTCACCATTAAAATACAATGAGTGTTAATGAGCCGTATTGTATGGCTTGTGTTTAATTTGGAGTCAATATAATATACGCTCTGACTAGCTAATTCTAGGGCATTATTCTACCCTAAAGTACACTGGCCGATAACGGGCCTGCGATAGCAAAGCAAAAAGCCACATAATAAACAATTTATTACCCTCGGATATTCAGTCTGTACAGAAACATCTCAAACCTGGTCAGTATGTACAGTAAGGTCTTGGTTTGATATTTTCCTATGAAGTCCTTACCTCATCTTCTGTCTCCATCAACATCCTTATGTCATCTGGGGTCAAGATGTCCAGAATTGACTGCTTGGTGCGCTGAAATATTGAATAAAAGTGAGAATACTGACACAAAAATGGCTCTGACTAGCATCTTGTTAGGTATAGCCCGGCATTTCAAAGCATTGGAGGCAACTCACAGAAAAGCATAATAACAAAATTTACTTTACATGTAAATCTAAAGCTTCGGTTTTATGCACGTTTCACCCCTGGTGAGCTCAAACATGAGGATCCAGACCACAGATGCTTAAAAAAGGTCATACATGTAGACTAGCCAATGTGGAAGTCACACAGCTAAACTCCTCTAAACAAGAAGACAAAACAGGCATTGCCTAACACTGGTGCAGAGCACAGCATTATGTAATAAATTCAATAACTGTACCTCATCCAAATGACGCTGAACGTAAAATGCATGCTGCAAAAAAAGAAAAAAGAAAAGAAAAGAAAAAAAGAAAGAAAAATAATTGATGAGTGATATTAATATTTATTACCATAACACATCACAGTCATGACAGAAGTTGGGATTACAATCTTTTGTGACGCTGCGAATTTTGTTCTGTTTGCCAAGAACAGGTAGTTTTCAATTAATAGGTCTCTTCATAGTTTTCCATGTATTTGTAAATAATTAATTTGTTATGTATTTTAAAAAACTGTACAGTAACACCGTAGGTAAATTGCACCATTACATTCATTGATTTAAAACAGCTATAGCATAAATTTCAAACCTTAGCTCTTTCGTCTGCAGAGAGACCTGGCACTCCCTTGTCCTGGACAAACTGGTTCATGTTGCTTGTGCTGTGATGAAATTAAATGACTTCATTGTTACCGAGTAGTCCAGAACAAGTTGGAAGTTTACAAAGGGTTAAAGTGACAAACTAGTTAAGAGCTAAAGATACACTATGTTAGAGTTAATGATATTATTTTGAGATTTCTTCATCATGTGGAGTCACTGACCTTGAAGTTGAAGTTGTGACCAAATTTTCTGGAATGCAAAACCCAGCAAGGTTTAACAAGTCCTTGATCATCTGACCCTTGATGTTACGATCCAGTTGAGATGTGGAATGAAGACTGTGGTGCAAATAAACAGAACTTAATCAATCAACTCAAGTGACAGTTATTCTAGATGACACTTTACCATCACCAGAAATAAAACTTATTTCCCCCTTGCACAAGACTTAGTAGTTTTCATTAGTTTCAGTTTTCAGATTCCCCTAAACAGTGTTTCCTATGTTGTGGAAAACTTGTCTCAAAAACTATCTGAAATCTTATACATTGCTGGACACAAGAATTGCATCTTTATACAAGGAACAAACCTGGACAACTATTAATTTTTGCTTGCTCCTTGGCTTTCTCATTGTTCCAAAAATGTAAATACACATGCTAGCTCCTAAAGTCTTAACTTAGATTTATACACTTTAGTAAGATAACTATAGATCCAAATATTGATTTGCTAACTGAACTATTATTATTTACTATTTACCTTGGTGATATATTCACTTCCAAGAGCCAGGGTTTAAGATTTTCATCCAACATGACATCAAACCCAAATAGCTCATGACAGCAGGATCTATAAAAGAAAACAACCGCACATTATCTGATGAACAAAGTAACAGGGCAGATATAAAATAGCTGAGGGAACATGTAATAACAGCATTATGACCACATATATGCAAGTCTCAAATACATTGTAGCTAGCTTAATACTTGGCAACCAATGTCGTAGTTCTGTTTAACAGTTTGTTCTATGCACACAAACACTACATAATTATACAGTCACATGATTTTCTTGTCAGTTTACTTCTCCACTACAATGACACCTGTCGCATCTAGCTTCTAAAAGATTAAAACACCAACACTGGAGGTAATTATCGACATAACATACCATTTTACATGTCACATTATTTTTGATGTGGTGCACAGTCTTACCTTTTTCTCACATTTTGTTTCACCATAGTGTTAACTGAAGAATCAGACCTGAAGTTATCACAAAAAAAAAAATCTTAATTGCTGATAAATAATTATTATGGAGTTGATTACATGTACTTTAATTTCAAGAAAATCTAAACTTAAAAGTGTTACGCATCGCATCAATTATAAATTCATGTGCCTGTCCACTTATTGACAATGAAAATTAGCCAATGAGCATGCAAGAATTTCTGCAGTTATCGTAAAAAAAGGACTGTGCACTTACGCTATGATGGCTTTGACAACCAGGTCCTTGATTGTCTCCCAAACATGAGCATGGTTGATGTTAATGCGCTTCATATAACCCCAAAGAGCTTTCAAACTCCTGCATGTATAGGACAAAAAATACAGTTACAACAATAAGAAATATTGACATGAATTATTACATCACATACAAATGTTGCACAAATTGTACAAAAGGTTGCACAAATCATAGCTCAGAGTGAGTACAAGTCAGATTTACGTGACGAAAATAATTTGCCACCCACCATTTGTGACCCTGACAAACAGTTTCATCTGAGTTCGCTTGGTATGCTCCTTCATTCTTCTTGTTGATGCTGTAATTTGTCAGATGCATAAACTTGTTGCTTAAACTCTTCATAGAAGATGAATACCTTGGAAAAAAAAGAAAAAGAGTTACAGAGCAATCAGTGCGACACTGATTTTAATTTAATAACTTACTATCATGAAAGAAAATATGTCTTAAGTGTAAATTACAATCTAGATGTACATTAAAAAAAGGTAAGGTCTGCATATGAGCCAAGTGGCCCATCAAGACGGAGCTTGTATTAGTTTCTGTAGCATGAAGCGACTAGGAGTATTTCTACTCCCCCCTGGATGGGATGCTAGTCCATTGTAGGGTTACCCCCAGCATTAAGTTCGCCAGTACCCATTTATCCACTCAGGTGGAGAGAGGCACTGTGAAAGTAAAGTGTCTTGCCCAAGAACACAACACAATGTCCCCAGCCAGGGCTTGAGCCCAAACCACTCAACCCGGAGATGAGTGCACCAACCGTTAGACCACTGCAGCTCCCTAGGATCAATATGCAAGTTCAGTTGAAATGCCCAGGCTAGTCAAAGTGAGAATTTCCTCGTTTTTGTAATGTTCAACATCCTTCATGTGTAATGTACCATACCATTCCCAAGTGTGGAGTTCCAGGAAATACCTAAGTCCAAACCCCAAGGAAAGTCTTTGGAAATTCCAGGGGGGAGGGCAGAGGGTTTCCAAAGGGGTGTCAAGAGGGAAGTTCACACTGAAAAAAAAAAAATCTGTTGGGGGTACCTTAACTTGTGTACATGATCATGACATTTACGAGGCCTTGGGTATGCCTGAAGAATCCGAGCATCTCAAAATGAACTTTGGTTGCAAACATACAACACTGTATACATGTATCTCAGACATCCTGTCAACTGAACATGAAACCAGCCTGCATGTGCTTGTGGTTAACAATAAGTTACTCCTTACTCCAGTTTTCTAAAACACTTTTTTGAGTGTTCAAGATGGCGGAATCCTCCTGTATAATTTACAATTTGCAACCCTTACTGGTGTCATCAGGCATATTATCATATGGCAGGGAAACAAGAGAATTGAGTAGAATGTTGAACACTACTTACTTGCATGTAGCAAATCTAACAAGCCCATCTTCAAAGACATAAATTCTTAGAGGGTCATATGAAGTGAGGTAGACATAGATACGAAGATCAAATTTGCTGCCGTTGATGAGAAATGGCTTTGCAAGGTATCTGCAGGAAAACAACAAAACAAGACTCATTAAAATACAACTATAATGCACCATTTTGTTCCCATACTGTAGTGTATGTAGTATGGGGTCTTAATTAAATTTGCAAGCTTAAAAAGAAAGCTTCCCTGCAAAACAAGTACCACTGAGGTCATACTGTTCTTCATATTGTTGACAAATTCAGGGACTATACCTTTGGACAATGACTGGTCTCTTCCTTGGAATCTGATTCCACTTATGAATCACACGGATTCCAATACCTCTAGCTGATGCAGGCTGTAATTTAAGAGAATTTCTAATGACACTGATCTACATACATGTAAATTATGATGTCAAATTGTTGTATTTTATACAGAAAAACTGAGCTACACAGAATTATCAATTGATATTCAGATTCCTGTCTGTCCTGTTTTGACCCAAACACCCATCTAAACTGTATACTCTAATCAACAGACACAATGCAAATGATCATCTGATTCACTACAAGAAGAAAAAAATTTAATGGGTTAAATTACCGGCTTGAGGATCCACTTCTGCCGACTGCCCCCATCATCCCAGGTTCTCTTAAGCAGTTTGAAGTCATAAGGAAGAATGTACGTTTGAGGAACAAAACCATAATCCTACAAATTTTAAACAGAGAGACTGATCAACTCATTAAAAAAGATGCTCATCCTCGGGGGTGGGGAACTCAGACATAATTTATTTTGTTTAACAGTGATGGGCAGATGCAAAGCTAATTTCTGGGTTTGAAACCTGGTTCAATTACTGACATACTACAGTGTAAGCCATTCATATTACAAGACTTGGTCAATGCCATGTAAGATTGCTAGGGTTCAACTGTAGACTGTAAAGGTACATGCAATTCACCAAAATTAAACTGAAGAGCTAATTTTTCTATTGTATCAGAAGGACTTACCTTCTTCCCATGGTGAACCATCATTCTGGACAGATTTCTCCATAGGCGGTCCTTTCTCCCAATTTGAAATGTACCAGGAAAATGGTTAACCTGTAAAAGAACAGTAAATATTACATTTAGGACATCATGAACATATCTGGAGATTGTGTTCTTCTAGAAAATATGTACCCCTCCCATGGAAGCTTTTTTTAGTATGAATCCCCTCCCCCACCCCTTGGAAATTTCAGTTTAGCTTCATACTTTCCTTTAAACATTTTGGCTTTTGAAACCTCCCTCCCCCTAGGCATTTCCATTAACCTTCCTTGGGGTGGGTTATGAATATTTTCTGTAACTGCACATTACAATGTCACTGTAAGGTGAGGCGAAGTTAGTCAAGGTAAATCTAAGGTAAGTGTTAAGACCGACCCCAATAACAGTACAAGAACCAGGACTACATGGAACACATGGAATATTTAATTTAGGCATCCTACTTGATATAATACAACACATTCTATAACAGTTATTGGGGCATCCTACTTCATGTAATACAACACATGATATAACAGTAAGGTCTGTATCCTTGTGGACCTTGTCAGGCCAGTGTTTATCAGAGTCTGAGCGTGCTTATCTGGGAGGCAAGGATGCTACTAAAGAGTAACTTACAGTATTCAGACACCCCACAATGCGCAGTGGTCTATTGCTTAGTTATCATTTNTACAACACATTCTATAACAGTTATTGGGGCGTCCTACTTCATGTAATACAACACATGATATAACAGTATGTTGTGCATCCTTGTGGACCTTATCAGGCCAGTGTTTATCAGAGTCTGAGCATGCTTATCTGGGAGGCAAGGATGCTACTAAAGAGTAACTTACAGTATTTATACACCCCACAATGCACGGTGGTCTATTGCTTAGTTATCATTTAAGGAAAGATGTGATGAGACAAGGCAAGACGAAATAATCAAGGGTGAGGTGCCTTGACCAACATTGCACACAACACAATGACATTGCTCGGTATCAATCTACATACATGTACAATTATAATGTACTCTACATTATAGCTCATGATCCCAACCAAGGTCATCCATACTTGAGAAAATGTTGCCAGATGATGACTTTGAAGGATACTAAAGATTTTGAAAGGAGTCCAAGATTCCATTCAAAATTGTTTTATTTGATTTTCTCACCTTCTGATACTCCCTTACAGCTTTGAAACAAGTTGCTTTCATGTGCTTTCCCCAGTAGCCCAACCAGTCATTTCCTGTTTCAAAACAGATAAAAGCGCATTTCTTTATTTTATATTTAAATTTAATAAAAACAATTAAAAACAGATTAATAACTTTTAAAAAACTTCCCATTATTTCCAGAAGATATGTTCATGATAGGGTTTACAGGGCAGAGCTTTAGAAGTGCCTGGGTGTCACAGGCAGCTACATGTAACTTCTGCCTTTGGGCAACTGGAAAACTTTTTCATATAAGCTAATAAGTGCTGGGCACCCAGGATTTCATGGTTAGGAACCTTTGGGCTCCTCACAGTATTTCTTAGACCACAGCCTTGGTTTAAACTTAATATTCTTTTGAGAGAGCATTCACTATACAGAAAGATAACAATTTACAAAAATAGTAATCATTTCTCCATTTCACACGAGGAACTTACTCTTGGTTGGTTTGAAGCCGACTCTTGCAATACACTGCTTGATCACATTTGGTGTTATGGAACTCATTTTCCATCTGAGAAGTTTTCGCAGTTCAGGAGAAAGTTGAGCAACTGAAAAATTCACAGAGCGATAAAGCAGTCATAAATATATTGTCCGCAATTTATACCAGAGCTAACACCCCATTTTGTGAAGGCGCAGTGGCTTCATGGTTAGTGCGCTTGACTTGGGATTGAGCGGTCTGGGTTCGAGTCCCAGTTGGGGACATTGTGTTGTGTCCCTGAGCAAGACACTTTACTCCCACAGTGTCCCTCTCCACCCAGGTCTATAAATAGGTACTGGTGAATTTAATGCTGGGGTAACCCTGCAATGGACTGCCATCTCAACCAGGGGGGAGTAGAAATACTCCTAGTCACTTAAGGCTACAGAAACTGGGATAAGCTCCAGCCTGATGGGTCACTTGGCAGGTACATGTACATAGACTTCACCTTTTTTAACACCCCATTATTCGCTATCTAGAGACATGCAAACTTACATGTAACTGTAAACTGAAGAGTAAATACAGTAATTATAAATAAAATTGTCTTTGAATAAGTTTGACAATCTACCTTTTTCACCCTCCACAAAAAAGTAAACAGTCGACGGTACATGGGCAAATAAGCTGGGTACCAAGGGTGGAGCTTTTTCTTGTTTTTCATCACCAGTTGATGCCCAAGCATTGGTCTTTTTTGACGACGCAGAACACGGTTTTGAGGAGCCTACTGTACCAGACCACCTGTTAAGGGAAGTTAATCTTGCACTTGATGCTCTGCTTTTAGCAGTAGAAACACGAGATGAAGCAGCTGTACTGATCATTGACTGAGAGCCATCATCATCAGCAGCATCATCATCATTATCAGAGAAGCCCGCTGTGTTTGTAAAATGGCAAAGCAAAAATAAGATGCAACATACAAATTGTAGTTGAACTCATAATATTTATTATAATTTGTGGTGTAATTTCCAAGACTGATTTGTTGCTCACTTTCGACACTAACACCTAATTAACATATAGAAATACATGTACATGTATGTAAGTGCAATAAGAGGAACAACTCTTAAACTCCAACAAAAAAAAAAAAATAAAAATCTGAGTACATCAGAGTTTTCACTAATGTTTTCAGTGGGAGGGCCACCGGTTTTCACAGGCAGTCGAACCTTTCTGAACTGAGCTTCTTTACAAAAAAAA